CCCCGGCCCCGGCAGACCCTGAGCGAGAGAGGCGCGGTCGGGTGCGGGGACCCCCGGTCGTGCGGAGAGGCCGCCCGGGCAGCCCCGGAGGAGACTCCTCATAGGTCCCAGCCTGCATTTTTCCAGCCCATTTTTGGTGTATTGATATTTTCTGCCTTGTGGTTTCCTTCCTGGCGTCTTGGGTGCCTGGCGCAGTCGGTGGAGCATGCGACCGGATCCTGGGTTGTGAGTTCGAGCCCCACCCACGTGGGCTGTAGAGCTTACTTAAAAATAAAATCTTTAAAAAAATATTTTTAAGGGCCGCCTGGGTGGCTCTTATCCCGAGGTCCTGGGATCGAGCCCCGATTCGGGCTCCCTGCTCAGTGGGGAGCCTGCTTCTCCCTCTGCTTCTCCCGGGTGGCTCTCGGTCGGTGGAGCGTCTGTCTTCGGCTCAGGTCGTGATCCCGGGGTCCTGGAATCGAGCCCCGAGTCGGGCTCCCTGCTCAGTGGGGAGTCTGCTTCTCTCTCTCCCTCTCCCCCTGCTTGTGCTCTCTCTCTCTTAAATAACTAAATAAAAATCTTAAAAAAAAAGTTTTATATTTTAAGAAGATTTTATTTTTTTTTATTTATTTGAGAAAGAGCGAGATATCACAGAGGCAGAGAGAGAAGCTGACCTGCAGCTGAGCAGGGAGCTGGATGCGGGACTGATCCCAGGAGCCCGGGATCATGACCTGATCCGAAGGCAGACGCTTCACCGACTGAGCCACCCAGGTGCTCCCTGCAAAACAGTTTTAAAAATTGAACCCACTAAGAGTTTCATGGAGAACTGTTTCACAATTGGCTCAGGTGGATCAGACCTCATGAAGATGAGTCCCCATGGTACTTGGCCGTTGCTCCAAGGGGGGGTGACGGTTTTGTGTGAGCAAAGTACCATATAGCTGTATCTTACCTGTGTCCCGTAGCTTCACGCGTTACGGACCTGCATTGACTGAGCACTGCCCAGTGAGGGTGCGCTCCGGGCTCTAGCTCAGGTTAACTATCCAGAAGACAAAGACCCCAAATCCTGCTGCCGTTTTGGCTGGGGCTCAACACGCACATTTTAGGTCATAATTTGTTATTGTTGTTCTATTTCACCATAACTTGAGGACCGGTCTGAATTATAATCCTGGCTGTCCTCTGTATTTTTTGTTTCTTTTCAGAGTTTGCAGCTGTGCCTGCCGACCCCAACTGCTGAAGGGTTCAGTGGATTGTTGTGGAAACAGCATCTAGTCCAGAATCCAGTCAGACTCTGGAAACTCTTAGGTGTGTATCTTGTGAAACACAGGTAGTAGGCACATCCTGTGACATTTGTAAATAAATCAGGATAAAACTGCTGGTTTGACACTGATAGTGAAAGGAAATCACTCAGAGGACTTTGGCTTCTGTTTATTGTAAGCCCTTAGATGCTCTCAAGTGCAGTTTATGGACAGATAGACTGAATAAGGTCTGAACAGGCCACGTGTGCTTACCTGAGTCGTCCCCCTCCCCTTTTTAAAAAAATCTGACGTATGGCAGTAATTGGGCTGCTTACAAGGTTTTCCATATTCTCTAGCCAGCTGCAAGAACGTCTAGTAAGGATCTTCAGAGTGGCTCTGTATGTTTTATATCCAGAAGGTAACTACAAACAGCCTACAAGTAATTTATGTTTAACAATGGTTTTATCATTTGGTGAGACACCGTGACATCCTCAAGAGAGATCTTAGCTCAAAGGACTTAGGACCTCCAGGATTGACAATGTGACCTTACGTCCCCCCTCTATCCAGGTGGAACTAGGAAAAGTGGAATCTCCCAATTCCTAAAGGACATTACGTGGCTTGGTGCCCACATGTGGTCAGCCGCGCGCTCACCTCCTGTGTGTGTTTCCCCACTTAAGTGTACGCATGCGCCTGGTGGCACACACCTCACTCTCCAGACAGCCTGATCCCGTGTCCAGGGGCCATCACTGTAGTCTCCCTGGTGGTTCTGTTAACCTTGTGAAGAGAGGTACAGCTGTCATGGTTGGTGAGACTCTCCTTCCTCTCCTTTTAAACATTAGTTCAGTTAGACGGTGGACGAGACCCGTGCCTTTGGTGGGAGGAGTGTTGTGTCTTGGTGGTGGTGGCCACTGGGTTGCTGTTGACGCACGTGTCAGAGCCACCGTGTTGCTCATTAGTTTAAATTAGCTTAGAGTGACTGTGGTTCTTGAAGGGGTTGTTCTCCAACAAGCTCAGGAGACTTTCTCAGTATACCTTCATAAGGAAGTTTTACTCCCTTGCATTGCTGATTTGAATTACAAAGATACTCCGTAAGTTGAAATAGTTTATTATTCTATAATTGGCAGTTACTATACTAAGAACGATCATCCCAAACTTCTAAATCTTACAAATGTAGGTTTCAGATGGCTTCTGTTTTGGTTTGGTTACTGAAGAATATCCTCTTCTGAGCGCTTCTCTGTAGGGGCAGATCTTGTTAAACATGTTCCCTATTCCTTGCAGGTGGCAGTTACTATTTTAACACCTCCAGGATGAAGCAGAAGACTAAGGACAATGATAAATCTAAGGGGAGGACCCCTGAAGATGATGAAGGTATATCTATTTGACTTTCTTAAATAATGGCTACTTTGGTTGTCTGCACATGTGCGTTCTGGTCTCAGCAACAGGAAACCTATCTTAAAAGTAGCATGAGCCCGCGCGGCTCAGTCGGTTAAGCATCCAGCTCTTGGTTTCGGCTCAGGTCATGATCTCAGGGTCATGAGATCGAGCCCCGCATCGGGCTCCACACTCAGCAGGGAGTCTACTTGAGATTCTTTCTCCCTCTGTGCCCCCACTCTCTCAAATAAAATAAATAAGTCTTTAAAAAAAAAAAAAAGTTAAAAACAAATGTAGGGTGCACCTAGGCCCCTGTGTCTCCTTCACTGTGAGCACACCTACCCCCAGTCTTTAATGTGATTACTGGATCTTTTCCTTGCCTGTCCTTTAGAGGTGCTTCCATCAGCACATGGGTCCCTTGTCCTGTCCAGACATCTGAAGGTAGGCAGAATTATAGTCCTCTGTGTGCAAAGGGTGAACCTCCGATCTGCCTTGAACTCAAGTGTTCTGGGGTGGGGAGGAAGGCACTTGGTCGGACCCACCCCACACAGGCTCCTGATGATGTGTAGACTTGAGAAGCAGCCCCCAGACGAGAGGTTGGTACGGTGCGTGGCCTTGAGGAAGGAGTGGGACACATCGCTGTCCTGTGTGATTGACCTCTGTGTACCCCAGTTCACAACAACCTCACTTGCAAATCTTGAGTCTCATCTGTAGAATTAGGACTCTGATCAAGCAAAGGGTGAGGGCAATAAAAAGGTTAGTTTAAACTGAATTGACTCTAAGGTAAAAGCTGGCTGCTTGGAGCTAATGACAATGGAAATTGCTAACCCACTGCAACAGCTGGAGTGTGCTCAGCACTGTACTAAGTGATTCATATGTCTTCTCCATTAATTCTGTCCTCATAATTACCCTGTTACGGTCCCCTGTCCTGTGAGGATTCTCCGGAAGGGCACACAGGTAGAGAAATGGTTGTCTTGTCAAGGAACTGCCTCAAACTTAGGTGCTGATTTTGTTGTCCTTTACTTATTTTATTTTATTTTTATTTATTATTTATTTGAGAGAGAGAGAGAGAGAGCATGACCATGGGGGGCGGGGCTGGGGGAGGAGGGGCAGGGGGAGAGGGGAAAGCAGACTCCATGCTGAGCAGGGAGCCTGACAACGTAGGACTTGATCCCAGGACCCCAGGATCATGACCCTGAGCCAAAGGCAGACACTTAACCAACTGAGCCACCCAGGCGCCCCTATTTTTTATTATTATTTTTAAAGTAATCTCTTTGCCCGACGTGGGGCTCGAACTCACAACCCCGAGAGTCGCACACTGCACCGACTGATCCAGCCAGGTGCCCCCAGCTTCAGGCTCTTTTGGAATAGGTCTTAACTGGAAACCAGTAGCCATTGCTTGGGTTCCGTTTAGTTATTCCTGGTTTCAGGCTTCATGGGGCATCCCTTCGGGCAGTCAGTCATTTCTTTTGCTGACAGAGCTCCTGGGGAACTTGGCTCTTCCTCAGAAGGCTTCTGAGTTAAAAGGTTTTCAGGGGTGGAGGATGAGGATTTGGTTCATAGAAAATCTACAGGATTTTGAAAAATATCAGTGAGGCTGATAGTGGCAGATACTAAGATGTTTTTCTCCCCAAAAATTAACGGGTTGGTCCAGTAATAGGTAGGAAGCGTAATGGAACCGAACAGGACACCCAGAGGCAGAGTCTGGTTTATCTCAGAATTCATACGGAGCTGCGGTGGCATTTCACGCGGTAGCAGAAGGGAGGCTTGTGTACGAAACGGTGTGGAAGAGTTGCTATTACTTGGAGAGAGACTGTTTCATGTGTTCCAAAATAAGTCCTGCATGGATGAAGTCATTAAATCTAAAAAGCCAAGTATGAAAGAATCAGGAAGAACCTCGGGGGAAAATTTCCTATCTCAAAATTGTAACTGAAGACAGCGGTAACGATAAAGAAGGGTTTCCGGTGAAGGAAGAGGTGGTGGGCGGCGCGCTGGGCCTGCCTTGCGCGCGGGGTCTCAGCCAGTGTGGCGCAAGGGACAGCAGAGGCAGAAGTAGGAGTCTCCCCACTTCTGTCCTGCGCTCCGTCCAGCAGCCGCGCGTGTCCAAGGTGTCTGCAGCCTCTGCCCTCTTCGTGCGATTGCTTTGTAGTTGGTAGTCTGAGTTAGTTGAGAACATGGGATGAAGCTCGTGTCTGCTGAATTTTCATGAGAGGGTAACGACTTGCTTGACCAGAGGGTTTTCCTCTCTGTGAGAACCTGCTGTGGCTCTCCCTGGTTCTGCTGCGTGCTGGTGAGGGTCTGGCTCACTGGGAGTGCCCACGCCCTGACTGCACACAGCGGGCACAGCCCGGGTCTCGCCCGCAGGGTCTCACCCGCAGGGCTGGCGGCAGTCTTGAATGAAGAGCCAGTCCCAGAAGCTTGCGTGCCACGTGGTTCCCATTTAGAGCCCATTCTCCAGAGACACGGGCACAGGGGCGGCGAACAGTGTTGGCAGGGCCTAGGAGCTAGGCAGCCCCCGCAGGGACGAAGTCCTGTGTGTCTTCACCGGCGGAAAAGTGCACGAAACTAAGACACAAGAGCACGTGTCAGCGGGGGCGGTCTGAATAAGGCCGGGGGGCTGCGTCACTGTCCGGTTTTGTAAAAAGTTACTGTTGGAAGCAACTGGGCAGATAGTTTTTGTTACTACCTAGGATTACACGTGAATCTACAGTATCACGTAGTAAAAGTGTAGCTAAAAAAGCAGTTGCTGGAGTCTCCAGACCACTTTGGTGCTAGTGCTTCTTTTTTTTTTTTTTTTAAAGATTTTATTTATTTATTTGAGAGAGAGAGAGAGAGCACATGAGAGGGGGGGAGGGTCAGAGGGAGAAGCAGACTCCCCGCCGAGCAGGGAGCCCGATGCGGGACTCGATCCTGGGATCCAGGATCATGACCTGAGCCGAAGGCAGTTGCCTAACCAACTGAGCCACCCAGGCGCCCGGTGCTAGTGCTTCTTGTCCCTGAGGTTGAGGATGTGCCGTGAGTGTTCTCTGGAGTTGCTGTCTCCATCTGGGGTGGGCCCAGCGCCAGCTGACGGTTAGAAAGAACCGGACTGTCACTGCAAACCTCATAAGCTTCTCGCCACAGTGCCCGCGTTCAGGGTTAGTGGGAATAAGTTCTTCCAGAAGGACTTCCGGACAGAAAACCTGGGGCAGCTCTGGAAGCTGTCTCCCTGAAACTCTGCTGTGTCGGTCACTGACCCGTGTGTAGGTGGCCACCCCTCTGAAGAGGGATTTTGGCACCAGAGTTTCCGGGGGGGTCTGTCCAGTGGTGGACAGTCAGGTGGCCAGGAGGCAGCAGTGTTACCCGGGCTTAGCCCTCAGCTCTCCGTGAGCCTGTCGTTAGCGTCAGGAGCCAAAGTAGATGCAGGAGCTGCGGGGAGCACTGCGCCCGAGGGCAGCCTTCACAGATGCGGTGGGATGCAGCCGCAGGGAGGGGCAGTGGAGGAAGGGGTCCTTGAGGAACAGACTGATGAAAGGCCATTTTCCAGTTAGACTCTCAGGGTCAGATTTTATTTCATGTCTCAGACCTCACACATCTTACTTTCATGGAGCCAATCCTCTGTCTCACACCCACACCTTCCCCTTTTGTCTTTCTCAGACCGGCCCTCGTAATTTCATACCTGACCAACACTACAGATATGTGGGGTTTTCCTTTGTTTTCAAAAGATTTTATTCTGGGGGCGCCTGGGTGCTAAGCGTCTGCCTTCAGCTCAGATCATGGTCCCAGAGTCCTGGGATCGAGGCCCCGCATCGGGCTCCCTGCTCAGCGGAAAGCCTGCTTCTCCCTCTCCCACTCCCCCTGTTTGAGTTCCCTCTTTCGCTGTGTCTCTCTCTGTGAAATAAATAAAATCCTTAAAAAATAAAAATAAAAAAATAAAAGATTTTATTTTTAGTAACTGCTGCAAGCCTGGGATCAAGAGTTGCACGCTCCGCTGACTGAGCCAACCAGGCGCCCCCAGAAATGTGTGTTTCACATTTGATGTCCTCGGGTTAAGTTTCAGAAGTACAGTTAGCGAGGTAAGGAAACAGTGTTTTCTGTGGCTCTTGGGACACCAGCCAGGTTGCTTTCAGGAGGGCTTCCTCCTGTGTACCCCTGGACAGCGTGTGCGGCACCAGCTCTCCGCACCTCGTGGGCCTGGGCTAGTGCGAGTGGACGGAGCGCGTGTGCGCACACCCTCCTTGCTGGATGGGTCCCGCGTGGTGGGGCGTGCTGTATCTGTCTCCTTGGTGCCCGGGGAGGGAGGAGGACTCAGGGTGATTGTGGCTCAGAAGCAGAGTAGGAGATCTGTTGAGACGTGCAAACGATTTTCACCTGACCTCCGCGATACGTCCTGGAGCTTCAGAGCAATAACCGCTCTGGGTTGGGGCCTCCCTGTTCCTGCACCAGGAGATCCTCTCATAGTGGGGTCTGCGGCCTCCAGGCCTGGCCAGGCAGATCCTTCTCCCTGAAATAGGCCGACGGGGGCAGTTCCACGTGTGACAGGACACCTGGCTGGTTTTTACTTGAAAAGCGTTGGATTTGTGAAGAAAGGTGTTTATTGGAGCCTAAATTAAAGCTGTCTTTTTATTGTTCAGAAATTCTTACAAAAATGTGCAAAGCTATTTGTTATTTAAAACCAAGCCATATCTGGGGCACCCGGCTGACTCCGTCGCTGGAATATATGACTCTTGATCTCAGGGTTGTGGGTTCGAGCCCCACGTTGGGTGTAGAGCTGACTTAAAGAAATGAAATCTTTTTTAAAATAAATCAATAAATAAATGAAACCAAGCCGTATCTTTTAAAAATCGTAGACCTGCTTCGCATTCTGCAAGCAGACACGCATGAGTTACAGAGTTGCTGCGAGCCCTTCTCCTGAGGTGTGCTGTGTGGCGGTCAGAGCAGTGAGGAAAGGCCATGTCGCCACGCGGCCTGGGCCCAAATTTGTACATCCTCCCAGTGGCTTGTGTGCCGCAGCCACCTGCCAAGAGCATGGGGGTGCATGCGCCATTTGAGGGTCTCCAGTCGGTCACACAAGCTTCTGCTGGTGGAGCGTCCCATTTGCCAAGTGTGATGACTGCCACCATTGTTAATGAGAACACATACTGGGGGCAAAATAGAAAATTAAATGAAATACATGGTTTCTAAATAATTACTTACTCACCTGAGAACATGAATTTGCTTTCCAAGGGCGCCTGGGTGGCTCAGTCGTTAAGCGTCTGCCTTCAGCTCACGTCATGATCCCGGGGTCCTGGGATCGAGTCCCACATCGGGCTCCCTGCTCGGCAGGAAGCCTGCTTCTCCCTCTCCCACTCCCCCTGCTTGTGTTCCTGCTCTCGCTCTCTCTCTCTCCGTCAAATAAATAAATAAAATCTTCAAAAAAAAAAAAATTTGCTTTCCAAGACAAGGGTACCTTTATTTTGTTGCCACTTGTGACTATGAGCTTTAAATATTAAATTTGCTATTACTGTCTATTCTCAGATAAGGTAACATCTGAAATGTGCTTTCATGTTTTCAGAATGATTGCTGACACAGCCTTCTCTGTAAGATTCATTTTGCGTTTTTTTTTAAGATTTTATTTATTAGAGAGAGAGAGAGAGCATGAGAGGGGAGGGGCAGGCAGAGAGAGAAGCAGACTCCCCGCTGAGCGGGGAGCCCGATGCGGGGCTCAATCCCAGGACCCCGGGATCAGAACCTGAGCCGAAGGCAAACGCTCAATGACTGAGCCACCCAGGCGCCCTCATTTTGTGTTTTTAAGCTGATTTAAAATGCCTTTCAGGGGCGCCTCCCACACCCCCTGCTTGTGTGCTCGCTCGCTCTCCCTCTCTCTGTCAAATAAATAAATTAAAAGTCTTAAAAAAAAAAAATGCCTTTCAGTTCCTCTAAACGGATGGCCAGAGAGGAGGGTTGTGTGTCTGTGGACAGTCCGCCTGCAAGCAGAGCAGAGGGAAGTGGGTGGACACGGAGGTCCAGCTGCACTCTTGTCCCTGGAGAAAGGACCACACGTACACGTGCAGCTTGGGTTGAGCCCCGTGCCTGTGCGGGGCCCTCCCTGCTCTCCCCCTGAGTGGATGCTGTGTCTGTGCAGGAGAAGTAAATGGTGGAAGCTTTGGTTGCTCAGATCGGTCGGGGCCATCTTGGGCAGGACTGGAGAAGGACGGTACATGCACTTCTCAAAAGGCGTCATTAATGACAGGCCCGGTAGAGTCTGGACGGAGTGTCGGGAGGATGAGCCGTACCACACAGGTGAGGGCCACATCATAGTCCAGGCCTTCTGGTGTGGAAATGGAGGTGCCAGATGCTTCTAAGGACTGGCGGGTGGGCCAGCGAGGAGACACAGCATCATGGAAATGCGGTGTGGAGACTGCCCTTTGTCCCCAGCAGGGGAGGGGCTTATCTGACCGGCTGGTTTGGGAGAAGACTGTGGCCTGGCCTTGGGCGGCTGTAAGCAGGACTCTCCCGTCTGTGCTGTGGGCCTGAGGGAGGCGACTCCTGCTGTCCTCCCGGTCCTCCCGGTGTGCTTACTCGTCCTTCCCGCCCGGAGCCTCCCCATGGTGGCCTTGCTGGGAGCTGCTTCTCGCAGTTCCTTATGCTGTGTGCTAATGGCCTCCCGTGTCACCTCCCAGGTGTTCATGCGCCCCAAGGTCAGGGGCTGAGTCTTGTGTCTTTTCGTCCCCCAAGAACTGGGCACGGTGCAGTCTGTATTCTAATAATGTGATTATTTATCTGATGGTTTGGATAAAGAGTTGGTTGCTGGGAACATTCTTGAATTAAGTGGTCCCCCCCAATATGTCCAGGATAGGCGGCTGTTGGGGAGGGGAGGGCAGATGGTGCTAAAAGGTGTTTCTTTGTCATCAGTGAGTTGCACGTGTGTCACATGCATCATGGGTGACCGTACGAGGTCAGGGGTCAAATGTGCCTCCGGGGGAGGGCTTACTGCCGAGATGCAGCACAGGCAGGTGCGGGGAAGCTTCTGACCGTAAAACTGGCTTTGTGCTCTGAGTAGACGCGACCTCGGTGAGTGCAGTGTTGGCGGCCTTGACTGGCGTGTGATGAGTATCTCTCCCGTGTCTGTCGCTCCCCCTGGTCACCCTGCTTGCAGAGGAGAGGAGACGCAAGGAGAGAGAGGACCAGATGTACCGCGAGCGGCTGCGCACCTTGTTTGTCATCGCCGTGATCATGAGCCTGCTGAACGCGCTCAGCACCAGCGGGGGCAGCATTTCCTGGAACGACTTTGTGCACGAGATGCTGGCCAAGGGCGAGGTGCAGCGCGTGCAGGTGGTGCCTGAGAGCGACGTGGTGGAGGTCTACCTGCACCCCGGAGCTGTGGTGTTCGGGCGGCCTGTGAGTGAGGGCGGAGCCCCTTTTCCTTCGTCCCCACTGCCCTGAGCCGAGCTTAATGTGCTTGAATCAGGGACAGGAGCTGGGGGGCCTGCAGCGGCAGCTCTGAGGTCCCGCCCTGTGGGTCTGGTCCTGGCTGCAGATTAGCACCCAGGGCAGCTTGGGCAGCTGCTGGTGAGTCGAGGGGATTCCTGGGGGCCCCAGGGCAGGAAACTGTGCGCTCTGTGAGGGTGGCTGAGAGTTGGGGTCGGGCAAGGGCCTGCTCACCTCCCCACCTCAGGTGCCCCCAGGAGGGAGCCCAGCGCGCTCACCAGAGGAGGGGTCCGGAGGGTGGGATTTGGTCCCAGGGAGAGGGCTGGGCATTGGGGGTGGGAGGATGGGGGGGGTCCCAGAAGCTGACTCTGAATACCTGCTGTGGAAGGAATCACCATCCTCCCTACCCCGTAACCACAGCAGCGGCAGGCCCAGGAGAGGTAGCGACGCGAGAATATTTTCCAAAGCACTTCCCCTGAGCCTGTTCCCTGGTCATCTCTAGACTGACGTTAAGAGCTGTTTTATTAGTATTTTATTTTATTTTATTACTATTTTTTTAAGTAGGCTCCACCAGCATGGAGTCCAATGCAGGGCTTGAACTCACGACCCTGAGTTCAAGACCTGAGCTGAGATCAAGAATCGGACGATTAACCCACTGAGCCACCGAGGCGCCCCTTATTAGTACTTCTAATCCAGGGTCCCATCAAGGACCAGGAATTATACTTAGTTGTCATGTTTCTTTAGTCTCCTTTCCATTTTTTGTTAGAGGTTTGGGTGGTGGAGACACTGGACCAGGTAAAATGCTGGGAGACAGGTGTCCAGTGTGGACACACTCTGCTCATGGGGAGCACAGGTGGACTCCTGGGCATAGCACTGGGCCCCTCACGCACCCCAGCCCCTGCCCAGGTTCTGGATTGGGCTGAGTGCCAAGCACTGTTTACAGCTGGTTGTTGGTTTACAAGAGCTTGTAATTTAGTTGGGGTGACAGGTTCCTCCTGGTCCTGCGTATTGCGTGAGCTGGGTGACCCTGCAGAAGCCCAGGCGGTCAGAGATGTGGGAGTTGAACTGGTGTCTGGAATCGCATTTTGCTTTTGGCTTCCGGCAGACAAAGAAGGTCATTGCCACGTGTTTCCAGTCTGTTCACCTGGCTGGGCAGGTGTTTGAGTGACAGAGGCGTGGATGAAGTCCAGATCAGACATCCGGGGTCTGTTAGGTTAATCCAGCAACTGAGGCCCCTGGGCATTCCAACACAGATGACGATCAGTGTGTCATGGCTGGTGGGTGCCCCCAGCTGCCTCTCGCATCTGGCCCTGTGACCCCGTGACATGCAGCCTGGCCAGCCTCTCATTCCACACAGAATCTTCTGAGTCTCTCAGCGCCAGGGGAGAGTCTGGTCGCTCCATGTAGATTCCACAGTGCGTTTAGAAGCTGTGCTTGGAACAGCTTCATTCTAGAAAGCATTTGGACCAGGCCCTTAGGAGAATGATGTGGGACTGGCAGGATGCCGTCCAGGTTGGTGGAGATCAGGATGGCCCCTTGGTGGGTGGCTCGGGTCAGCTCACAGAGCAGGGATTTGGGGGCCCAGCGTGGACTTCTGGCTTGCTCTGGAGCCTCCTCTCAGGGAAGCCTGTACCCGTGGAGGACATTCCACCTGCGCACAATCCCTGAGCCTCTTCTCTACCCGGGAGGGGTTTACTGAGAAGAGAGAAATCCACTTAGCTGAGTGTCACATTCAGCCAGTGGTGAAGCACCAGACCTGTGTTCTTGCCTTAGTGAGTTGCCTGCATCCCAGCAAATAGCTCGTGTCTGTCATCTCTGTGCTCTGCACACACAGCTGAGGCTGGGTGGTGAGTTTGAAGCCTAAAGCACACCCTCTGTTTTCTTCAATGTTCCTGTTAGTGAAAACAGAGCAAGCACACGTATGGAAGGTGTGTTGTAGTCGGGATCTGGACGTGGTTTCTGAATGGCAGGTGGAAGTTCAGCTTCTGGAGCACTGTGGGGTGTGGGTGCTGTGTCTCGCAGCTGTCCTCAGCCCGCGTGTCACCTGCACCGCGTCTGCTCTCTGCCCCCAGCGGCTGGCCTTGATGTACCGGATGCAGGTGGCAAACATCGACAGGTTTGAGGAGAAGCTCCGAGCTGCTGAAGACGCCCTGAATATTGAAGGCAAGGACAGGATCCCGGTTTCCTATAAGCGGACAGGATTCTTTGGAAAGTATGTTGGTCATTTTTTGGCTCCTGAACTAAACCAGGCTTGGCTTTGTAATGTGATAACAAACCACCAACATCTCACATTGGCCTTGCCTCCAGTAAAGCTGCCCCCGTGTGGGAGGGTAAGTAGGAGTGCGAGCCGGTGACCACGCGTGGGGATGGGCATCATGGGCCTGTTGGAGCGTCTTTCACTTTCCTTACTTGTTGGTTCAGTACATTGTGGGGCTGCCATCTTGTACAAATGGGAAAATAGAACAGAAAGGGCAGAAGCAGGGACGTCCAGTAGAAGTTCTTGCTTCCTTGTGGCAGGTGGAAATGGGGACCCTGTGGGACCTGCATCTCCTTAGCGGGAGCACATTAACTCGCAGAGTCCTGGGGGGCTTCACGGCACACACGTGTGTAGAGAGGTTCACTCGTGGACACGTGCCCACACTGAGAAGACGCAGGATGCCAGTGACGGCAGGCACTCCTGAGAGGTGGCCGTTCTCTCTTGAGGGTGCAGGGCCTCCAAGGCCGAGGGGCTGTCGGCAATGGCGGGAGGTACGGCTGGAGCCCTGGGGTTTACTCTGTACCGCTGTGCTCCCTTGCTGAGCAGGGAGCCCTATGCGGGGCTCCATCCCAGGATCCCGGGATCATGACCTGAGCCGAAGGCAGATGCCTAACGACTGAGCACCCAGGTGCCCCTGATGGCCTACTTTTGAAAACAAAATATATCACACATGAAAATCTGTTCTTTCGGGCATTATCAAGAGGCTCTCGATGACCCGGTCAGTGCGCGGTGTCCGCGGTCTGGCTTCGCACTGTGGTGAGCCGCTGTATTGGGCCTTTACACGCTCCATGGGACAGCCTGGGGAAGGTCACAGGACGAGAGGTGGACGAGGAAACCCATTTCCACAACCATCCGCTCTGCACACTGGGCTCAGAGTGGGGGTTGCTCTTGTCATCTGTGAAGGGTCCGTGGCCCCTGACGTGAGGCGTGTGCACACTGCCTGCCCATAACTGCCCCTCTCTCCTGCTAGTGCCCTCTACGCCTTGGGGATGACCGCAGTGGGCCTGGCCATCCTGTGGTACGTGTTCCGTCTGGCTGGAATGACGGGAAGGGAAGGAGGACTCAGTGCTTTTGTAAGTTATGAACATCCCATCTCATTGAACCCGTGGTCTAGGGTTTGTGCTCGTGCTCGCGGAACATGCTTCACGTAAATCACAGTGAATGTTCACCTGTCACAGAGGCCAGCCTGGAGTCATGGCCCGGGCGGCTCCTCTTTCTTTCTGCTTAGCCCCTATCCCCCGACTCTCTCCCTGACTCGTGGGGCAGCTGAGCCAAGCAGGTGTGTAGGCCAATTAATTCTGCAGTTTTCAGGAGCTGGGCATGACTTACTTTTTTGTTTCTCCTACTAGCTAAGACACTGAGAAATTTTTAAAGGTTGTCTTTATGTTTTTATTTTATTTTTATTTTTTTTAAAGATTTTTTTTTTTTAAGTAATTTCTGCACGCAATGGAGGGCTTGAACTCAAGACCCCAAGATCAAGCGTCACATGCTCTACCGACTGAGGCAGCCAGGTGCCCCAAACCTTAATACACTTTAAAAGCATTCTCCTGGGGCGCCTGGCTGGCTCAGTCAAAAGAACATGTAGTGCTTGATTTCAGGGTCTTGAGTTTGGGCCCCGAGTTGGATGTAAGGATTACTTAAAAAAAAAAAAAAAAATTCTCCTGTTGTGGTAACCTTCATTGTAACATGAACTTTCCCTCCCTGGCAGGTTGCATATGGCCAGTTAGCCCATCAGCAGAGGAGCTGGGGAGGGGCCCAGGGCCTGCTTGGAACAGGTCTGCAGAGGGTACCTTCTGGTCACCTCCCTGGGAACAGAGACAGATTTCCACTGAGACCAGGATCGTGTTCCTGTCTGTAGCTAAAGACTCACACCCTTTTAACGGTGTCTCATTGTGGGGCTATGTTGTGTTTTACTCAGCCAGTTTCACCAGTCTTGCATATTTGGGGCTGTTTATTTACTTAAAAAAAATTTTTTTTAAAGATTTTATTTAATTATTTGACAGAGAGTGAGCACAAGGAGGGGGAGCTGTAGGCTCCCCGCTGAGCAGGGAGCCCTATTCGGGGCTCGATCCCAGGACTCTGAGGTCATGACCTGAGCCGAAGGCAGACGCTTCACCGACTGAGCCACCAGGAGCCCCTATAGTCACTTTTTTTTTTAAGATTTTATTTTGAGAGAGAGAGCATGAGCTGAGGGAGAGGCAGAAGCAGACTCCCCGCTGAATGGGGAGCCTGATGTGGGACTTGATCCTGGGACCCTCCCTGAGATCACGACCTCAGCCGAAGGCAGACGCTTAACCACCTGAGCCACCCTGGCATCTCAGGGGCTGTTTATTTTCCCTGCGGTATTTAGATAGTACTGTGATAAACCTAATGCACATGTGTCTTTGGAGTGCCTGACTGCCTGGTGTGCCTCCTGAGGCCGAATTTAGCTCATTTGCACCCCTCATCGAGAGCTTTATCTTGCCTGATTGCTCTCCAGAAATTTACCAGCTAACATTTCTACCAAACCTTCCTAGAGCTGAGTGTTATTACATTACCTTTATAATCAGAGAGTTCCACACTAGTAGGAAAAATCACATGGAAAAATATAGTTTTTGTGCAATAGATATTAAATTACCTCGTTTGGGTGGGGGGTGGTTTATGTTGGTTTTTTTTAAAGGCAAATTGCTAGACGCTAGATGATTTTCTTACTGTTAGCGATGCACAATAAACATTTCCCCTTGGCTGCCTGGAAGGTGACTTTGGGTCCCATCTGTCTGAATACGTGGAGAGGGTGTGGGAGATGAGAGCCGGGCCGAGGGGAGCTGGGGCCCCTGGGACACGAAGCCCCCTTGCGCTTGCAGACCCAACCTGCGGGTGCTAATCTTCCCTGTTGTGCTAGGAGTCACAGCACCCTGCCCTTTGTTTTTTCTGCCCAGAATCAGCTTAAAATGGCCCGTTTCACAATTGTGGATGGCAAGATGGGGAAAGGAGTCAGCTTCAAAGATGTAGCAGGAATGCACGAAGCCAAACTGGAAGTCAAAGAGTTTGTGGATTATCTGAAGGTGGGTGCGCAAGCCAAGCAGGAGGCAAGATGCGAGCGCCCTCCTTGAGGGAGGGACTGCCCCAGTCAGGCGTGTGCCGTATCTGCTAAACCAGCAGGGCAGGCTGAGTGCACAGCCCTGAGCCAGTAGTAGGGCCGAGAGCCCGCTGCTGACCTAACCCCGGGCCATCTGGGACACCTGGTCACTGCCGGAGCTCTCTGCTTTTCCCAAACCACATGAACCACAGCTGATTCGTGACAGTGCAGGAGCTGATCTCCACGTGAGTCCTCTTTTGGAAATTCTCTGTCAAACACCTGTGACTAGTGTGCTATGATCTGTTGCTTTTCCAGAGCCCAGAGCGCTTCCTTCAGCTTGGCGCCAAAGTCCCAAAAGGTGCACTCTTGCTCGGGCCCCCCGGCTGTGGGAAGACACTTCTGGCCAAGGCGGTGGCAACAGAAGCCCAGGTGCCATTCTTGGCGATGGCCGGTCCGGAGTTCGTGGAGGTCATTGGAGGTTGGTATTGCCTGGGGGCTGTGGACAAGTTTGCCCAACCATCTGTGCAGGGCCCTTCCTCAGGTGGCCGGATAGACGGGGACCTGGGGGGACAGGGAAGGACACGTGAAACCCGTGTTACTGGCCATGTTTATGGAGGGAACTTGGTAGTGATGTTCTTTTGAGGCTGCTTCCATGTGTGGCCTGGGGAGTCCAGGAGGGTGAGCGTCCACCAGGGTGACTCTGTGAGACCTCGGCATCCTCAGTGGGCAGCTCTGGTCCCCAGCACAAGAGTTGGGCTCGTCTCCCAGTATCTGTCCAACTCCTGGTCCTCTGTGTCACCTCAGGCCTTGGCGCTGCCCGCGTGCGGAGCCTCTTCAAGGAAGCCCGGGCCCGGGCTCCCTGCATCGTCTACATTGACGAGATCGACGCTGTGGGCAAGAAGCGCTCCACCACCATGTCTGGCTTCTCCAACACAGAGGAAGAGCAGACGCTCAACCAGCTTCTGGTGGAAATGGACGGTGGGTGCCCCACACCCCCAGTCTGCTCCTGGGCGGGGAAGGGTTTCTTCTTGAGATCCACTTTCTGGATAGACCGCGTGGCTGATGTGTGTTGTTCCGGAACCTTGCCCTGATGCTCGCTGGCATCTCATTTTCCTGCAGTGACTGGTCTGCGTTTCTGCACCATAGCACCTGCCAGAGGTGTGAGTGTGCCCAGCACTCCCCGCAGGTAGCAATGAGACAAAGCCAGTTGCAGAGGTACTTGTCACCTTGAGCCACTCAAGAAACACAGGTTTTAATTGTAAAGAGTGAAGGTAATAGTAGAAAAGACATAAAAAAAACCTGGGAGCACAAAGGGCAGGGCAGGTCATGACACTGTTCCCAGTCTTGGGTAAACCCAGGGGATTGTGCTGTCTCTGCTGCCCAGTGCAGTAAAGGGACTTGGGGCGCCTGGCTGCCTCCCTCGGGGGAGCATGCGGCTCGTGATCTCAGGCTTGTGAGTGACATGGGGAATGGTTTTTTTCTTTTTTTAAGATTTTATTTATTTTAGGGCGCCTGGGTGGCTCAGTTGGTTAAGCGACTGCCTTCAGCTCAGGTCATGATCCCGGAGTCCTGGGATCGAGCCCCACATCGGGCTCCCCCTTCTCTGTGGGGAGCCTGCTTCTCTTTCTGCCTCTGCCTGCCACTCCCCCTGCTTGTGCTCATTCTCTCTCTCTCTGTCAAATAAATAAATAAAATCTTTAAAAAAAAAAAGATTTTATTTATTTTAGAGAGCTAGAGAGCATGAACGGGGGTGGGGGGGGAGTGAGAGAGAATCTCCAGCAGACTCCAAGCTGGGGGCGGAGCCTGATGTGGGGCTCGATCTCACGACCCTGAGATCACGACCTGACCTGAAACCAAGAGTCGGACGCTCAACCGACTGAGCCAGCCAGGTGCCCGTTAACAGACGTAACACATTTATCATTTTAACCACTTATAAGTGTCCACTTCTGTGATGTTAAGTACGTTCTCATTGTTCATCCACCACCACTGTCCGTCTCTAGAACCTTCTCTTCCCTGACTGGAACTCTGTCCCCTTTAAACACTGACTCCCCGGCCCCTGGCAGCCCTGCTGTCTCCACGGGCCTGTCATGGCGAACAGCATGGACGCTCCTCAGCCCTGGTGCTGGGGTTTGCATTGGCGTGGCTGTGGGCGGCAAGGCGAGGCCTTTCCTCAAACGCTGATGTGCAGTCAGATGCACTGATGAATTTTGTAAGCCCTGCAAGCTCTACAGATGAAAAACCAAAGTGTCCTGTCTAACCAGTCTGCAGTAAGGGCTGTGTTATTAGGCCGTAAGGAGAAGAGCGAGCATGTGGAGCTGCCCCGCAGACCCTTGCGTCCCATCTCTGACCCTGCTGCCTGGCACCATTTGCTCCAGGACTGTTCTCAAGAGCAAGTTTCCAGGGAAGGAAGCTTCCACGGACTCCATGTCCTTGGAAACGTGAGTAGAGTGAGGCCCCGGTTCTGAACGCAGCTGTCGAGAAACTGTCACAGGGGGGCCTCCAGGAGGGCCTTCCAGGCCAGATGGCAGGAAGCCCCCAACCCCTCACGCCGCTTCTGAGGGCAGGCAGTGTGCCGTTATTGCATGATTTTGCCGTTACCCTCGGGAGTCTCCCAACGCCCAAGAAACCACACTCAGTGCTCCTCCTTTGAACGGCCTTCCACGACCTCTTAATGCTGTGCCACCTTTGCTCAGTGTGGCTCTAGTGATCTTGGGGTCCTGCAGAGATCCGGAAGGTCCCCTCGGGTTCTGGTCACGAGGTCTCACGGCTTGGCCTGTGGGTGCCCGAGCCTGAGGTCCGTCCGCCTGCTGAGACCCGGGACCATGTGTTTGATGAGCCTCTGCTATCAGAAGTACCAGATTTTAATGATGGCGTCTGGTTGTCTCTTTAAAAGGATGGCCAGCCTCTGCGCTATGGAGGGGAGAAGGGAGAGCAGGCTATCAGAAGTCCTCAGATGACTCACTGGCTGTCCAGGCTTCAAGTGTCCTCAAGTTCGTGTCTGTCCTTCGGCTCCTGCAGACAGCAGTTCGCGCGCGAGCATTCAGGCTCCTGGACGGGAGGGATGCCGTGGGGTTCACGATGGCCCCCGTTCGTTCATCCAAGCTCTGGGTTTTTGACACCGTCGGTGTGTGACCTCACCTGCAACTCTGTGGCCTTCTGTGTGCAACCATGTGTCATTCCAGGTGATGTGAAGGCACTCAAGACTCCCGCACGACTCCCTCTCTGAACGTGGAGGCCATGGGAAGTAGCGTCTCTCCTGCTTATGTTGGTTGTTTGCACTTGAAGACTGAGCCCACCAGGAAGCATTTACTAAATGGCATCTTCCTCTGAGCCAAAGCGCTCTGTGCTGCCATGAATGGGGTGCTTCCACCCAGCACTTGCTTCTGCCCCTGACCCCCAGGCCCCCAGACTGAAGGCCCTTGTTGGGCTGGGCCTGCAGAGAACAGGTCCCTTTGTGTGCGGACACAGCCGGGCATTCTCAGCCCTTCAGATGCATCTGAGGAGTCTCTGTTAGTCCTTGGGGAAGGGCAGTGCCGCTTCATTGAAGTGCGGGGCACAGAGCAGACGCTGTGCCAGTCGTGGGAAAAGCTCACTGGAAAGAGAAACCCCCACTCGCGGGTCAGGACGAGGCTGCACTACGAGACGACCAGGCCCCATGAGATGGGCACCTGTGCGGAGCGCTGGGGTCCCACCAGGCCACTTACCGGTGGACAGTCACCTTTCTACATCTTTAATAGCACCAAGTGCCCCTTGCGGTGGATGCCTTCACCTGAGCCTCTGTGTTAAGCAAGAGCCTATGGGGTCATGAGCTCCGGCCTGACACGGAGTCATTAGAAAGTCCTAGCTCCCATCCACGTGGCCTTTTCCATTTTAATCTGTGATCTGTTTTAAGTTACTTTTGCAAAGATGGGAGGGTTTGGTCATGGCTCCTTTTTATGCCTGTGGATGTCCAGGTCTCCAGCTCCGTTTGTTGAAAAGGCTGTTGCTTCCTCCACTGAATGGCTTTTGGGCCTCTGCCAGCGCTTGGCTGGGCGTGTCTGAGAGTCTCTGGGCGCCCAGTCTGCCGCGCTGGCCGACGAGTCTGCCCTCCGCCACAGCACTCGGCCCTCCTCGGGCAGCAGTCTTGGAGGAAGGTGGGCTGGCTCCTTGCGCTTGGTTCCCTCAGCTGAAACTCTTGCGGTGGTTGTGCTTTGCTTTCTCCTATAGTTTTTAGAACAAGCTTGTCCACATCTCCCAAAAGATACTGCTGAGTTTTTGAAAGGAACACACACATCACAGGAGAGCCAGGAGGAAGCATGGGGGCAACGCCAGATGCTGGTGAGTGCGCAGAGAGGTCGGACCCAGGTCCCCGTGTGAACCTCGATGAGCCTAATGTTAATAAAGCAGCCAGGGAGGCGTGAGCGGACACGCTGCTGGTGGGAGTGTCCAGTGGGGCAGCCTCTCTGGGAGACAAAACCACACACACACACCTACTGTCTGACCCAGCTCTAGCACTCCTGCGTGCTGATCCTAGAGAAAAGTTTACCCAAGACCTTCCCTTACCTGTGGGAGCTGAAGACTGGAAGCAGCCCGCATGTCCACCAGCGCATGCAGCTTGTAAACTCGGTGTTTCCTTGTCCGGGAAAGAAATGAACTTCTCACACTGAACTGTCTGGATGGGTCTCGGGATCGTGGCTCCATGTCGTACAGTGCCATTCACATGAGATCATCAGAGACAGAGAGTGGACCGCTGTTCTCCCACAGTCATTTTCGGCGTCGGTGACTCAGCCTTGGCCTGGGAAGGAGGTCATTTCGGAAGTCTGAGCAGGGAGTCCCAGCAGGTCCCCCGACCAGGGCTCTGGCTCCCCGCCTTGTCCGAGGAGCGGAGCTGCGTCTGTCCCAGGGCCCTCCCTCCAGTCAGCCCTCCTGTGTCAGAGTGACGTCTCCTAAAACCACGGTGCAGGCAAATGCAGCATGGGGTCAGAAGTGTTGCCCCTGCTGGGTGGGGCCTGCTTTTGCTTCCGGGTTACTTCAGAAGTCACGGTTATCACGAGCCATAGTCTCCGCTCGACACATGAATGGGACCGGACTCATCACGGTGTCCTGGCTTATCGCATTCCAGCAAGAACACACACACACAGGAGTGTTCCAAGGACTTCCTTGGGAGTGGGGTGTGGTTTGGGTGTCCTGGTGGCTGCTGCTCGGTGACTCGGGTGTCAGGTCCTTGGTGAGGAAGTGCCCCCCCACCCCTGGCCCGTGCGCTCAGCCAGGCCCCTCACTGCCGTCACAGGGTCCTGGGGTGGCGTTACTGACAGTCTGCTGGGAGGTGCCCCACACACTCTCAGGGCCTAATTCTCGAACACTTCTTTTAAATATCACTTAACACTTCACAGGTAGTTTTAAGTTGTACTTGTCAATGTCCGCTTATTAGGGATTTTTTTCATTAGCAAAAGATAGATCATGGTATTTTTGTTTGTTTAATTAAGTGGGCTCCACGCCCAACGTGGGGCTTTGAACTCAAGACCCTGAGATCAAGAGTTGCACGCTCCATCGACCCAGCCAGCCAGGTGCCCCTGAAATCTTTAATTTTTAAACTTTGTGTCTGGACCTTATCACACATACATTAAGTGCAGAGAGAGATGTGCAGTAACCCTCCACGTCGCAGGCCAGCCCCGTTCCATCCACACCTCCTCCCATCCTCTTCCCGGGTGGGTGATTTTAAAGCCAGCCTAAAGTTCTGAATCTTACGTGCTTTGGACGTATTTGTTTACGTTCAGAGAAACACCACCATCTCACTGTAACATGTACTCTGAAAATACATATATGACCCTCTGATGCCCAGTCAGGCCCAGATCACCCAGTTGCTTCTTGGATGCATTTCTGCAGGTGTTGCTTTATCCAGATTAGGGTCCAGTCTAAGTTCTCACGAAGATCTGGGCCACCAGTGGTACTTTTTGCACTTTTAAATTCCTCTGAGAAACCTGGAGCCTCCAAACCCAGGCCACAGACCAGTGTTCAGAAACGTCCGCTTTGGCCCACGTCTTTGCACCAAAGGAGCGTGGATACGGTGCCCCTCACTCCCCGGGTCTGCTGGGCAGTTACTGAGGAGAAATGCAATCCCCCCAGGATGCTGTCTGGATGGCCGTGCAGGCTCCCCCAAGAACCATCTGTGGTTCTGCATCTGGGGTGGCAGCCTCGGGAAGACAGGCGAATCCTTGCTCTCATGGGGAGCTTGATCCTGGGTCAGTCCACATCTCCTCATTCAGAGCGCCGTGTGTGTTCCTGTCTCACGGACCCCAGTGGGAAATCAGTCCCACCCTGTGTCCTGAGCGGCGAGCTCTACCTGAACAGCTGTCTTTCCCTTCAGGAATGGGCACCACCGACCATGTCATTGTCCTGGCATCTACCAACCGAGCTGACATCTTGGACAACGCTCTGCTGAGGCCTGGCCGACTGGATCGACACGTCTTCATTGACCTTCCCACGCTGCAGGTCAGTGCGGCCGGGGGCTGGCTGTCGTCTGTCCGACTTGTCTTTGGCTTACGGCTCTGGTGTGGCTTTGCAGCTTGTTTCATTCACCCATAGTTTTTCTCTTTATCCATAAACATTGGGGCTGAGTTTTATAAGAATCTTGGGAGAGCCTCAGAATTCTCATCCTGACCCCCTCGAGTCTGTAGGTCTCTGAGCCCCACCAGCATCCTCGGTGCCCCAAGGCAGCAGGAACCAGCAAGCAGTGATGGGTGGGGAAAGGGCTCAGAGCGTGTGCGTAATGGTTCCCGTTCCCGTGCCCCAGCCAGCAGTCCTCCTGGGTCTGACACTCAGACCATTACTGCTCTCTCAGAAGCAGAGCGGGGCTCCCCTCTGACGCTGCACTCCAGAGCAGCTTTCCATTGTTCTGACTCAGGGGTCTAGGAAACTGAGAATGTATATGAACCAGATGTTCTACAAAATAAGCCTTATGTGCATGATGCGCTTCATTGTTTCCTTCTTCAACCTTCCATTTTTGAAATGCTGCTGTAGGTCGGGAGACAAAGAAAGGGATCTAACAGCCCATGGTTCCTGTCTGCGGGGCAGGAGTGAGCCCACACTTGGTCCTTTCTCTGCAGGAAAGGCGGGAGATTTTTGAGCAGCACCTGAAGAGCCTGAAGCTGACCCAGGCCAGCAGCTTTTACTCACAGCGTCTGGCAGAGCTCACGCCGGGGTTCAGCGGTATGGAAGCTGGTTCCTGCTAGTCCTGAGGGTGCAGGCCACCCCCCGGTGCCCTACACCCCCTGCTCTGGGCCCCACGGTCAGCACAGCTGGGGCGGGAGTGAGGTCGTGCACAGAGAGCCCGTAGAGGAGAAAAGAGCCACGCTACACTTTGCTTTTCCTGCGTGAGTGGCGCCAGACCCGACTGGTTCTGCTGCGGCATACAGGGCGCACTGTGCCTGTGCCCCCATGGGCGCTCCGGGCACTTCTGCCCGCGGGACTCTGCACACTGGCCCTTCAGTGCCTCTCCACGCTCAGGCTGTGTACCACTGCTCCCTGCAAGGCAATGCCATCCGAGGCCTCGTGGCTGTCCGAGCGCACCACGGCCCTCCTCACGGTTTGTTCTCATTGAGCAGAGACAGGTCACAAATCAAGATATTTTCTGTATGGCTCTCATTTTAAAGGGTAATATAAACAAAATCCCTTTTACTATAATTTCTTCCCTTTGGATTTTTCTTTAATGCCCTTAACTAGAATTGCATGGGTACTGGAGCGTGAATTCCCAGGGAGAATGAGACAGCAGGTGGTGCTGAGCATGCCGATGGGCCCTGAGCAGGAAAGAGCTTGGAGGTGGCAGGAGGTGGGACCACACAAGGCTGTGCTCCAGGTCTGTTAGTGGTGTGAGTGGCTTCAGCATAGGACAGAAGCGCCTTCTGCGTGCTCTCAGCCTCCTGCCCACGCCCCCCTCCCCCGCCCTCCTCTCTCACCCCTACTGTGCGGACAGGTGCTGACATCGCCAACATCTGTAACGAGGCCGCGCTGCACGCCGCACGGGAAGGGCACACGTCCGTCCACACGTTTAACTTCGAGTACGCTGTGGAACGGGTCATTGCTGGTACGAGGGGCATGTTCTCAGCAGGGCTGGATCCCCGAAAGCACCCAGACAGAAGAGGGGGTGGAGGGAGCCAGGTCAGGCTGACACATGACAGAAGTGATCAGCGAAGAATTATTGAACAAGAGAACTATAAGGAAAGTGTTTCTATTTTTGTAAGTCGGGTTGTTCCAATGTGTCTGACTTCTCCTTAGTTTAAAATACCAGGCATATGCTGAAGAGCAGACACACTCTTCAGGTAAAAACACAAGGATCTCGCACACGCAAGTGTGAGTGGCACTCAGCCCCTCAGCTGTCAATGGTGCCTCGGAGCAGACCACACAGGGCACCATCCACGTTGTGGGGTCACGGCCGCCACTGCCGGGGTACAGAGGGTCTCCTAAGAGCTACGCTCTGCTGCCTGGCCCGTCTCTGCTCTGGGTAGCGACAGGAGGGGTCTTGGCAGCGGGGCGGGGAGGGGGGCCTTCCAGCAGAGCTCAACGGTGGCTACTCAAAGTGGGGTCCCTGGGTTTCTGTCAGGAGAGTGGGATTGAAACTGAGAGTCTCCAGAAGTTTCCACGGCCCCACGTGTCTTGTCCTTGTGAGCAGTGTTCAGTCCAAGACACTGAGAGTTTTTTAAAGAGGGAAACTGTTCATTCCCATGGAAGTGTGAGAAGCACCGGCCTTGCGTGTGGGTGGGGAGCGTCTGCAAGGGGCTCATCCCTGTCACTCTCGGCTGAGCTAAAATCTGGTACAGATGCCACCAGGTGTCCAGGCTGCAGCTTAGGAGTCTGTGTGGACAGAAGGAACGAAAGTGGCTGTTTCGTACTACAAACTTGTCTTCATATAAGCCACTCTGTTTACATGGAAATTGATAAACTCACACTGATAGTGTCAAAGCGAGAAAGACGGAAGTGCTGCCCACGCTGGTGCGGCCTACCTGAGCTCGAGCACTCGGGTTCACGTACAGCCCATCCCGCAGCCTGTGGCCTCTGGTCCAGATGCTCAGAACCAGCGTTGCAGTAGACGGAGATGGATGACCCTCGAAGCACACAGCCAGACCCAGAGCTGGTCCAGGCTGTATAAAACGGGAACACAGGAAGGTTTGGGGACCCTGGGCTGCGGAGAGAAGCCTCCCCAGTAGCTCAGACGAGATAGATGGACTAGAATCTCAAGGTGGGAAGCGGTCAGCTAGCAAGGGCCTGCAGCTTCCAGCAAGTCCGGGGGAAGAGCCTCTGCGAAGCCTGGACCTGGGTGGGGACCCCATCTAATCACAGCGGCCCTGTGCCCCGTGGGCCCCTGAGGGTGGGCACTCGTAAAGCCTGCAGGAGCTGGTCTACTCTCCCCGGCATTCACAGAAGTAGAAACAAACAGGGACCGTCCAGCATCTCTCCCCTCACGAGGAACAGTTCGGGGTGCTGGCTTGGGGCGGAGGCACAGGAGCTGAATGTCAGGCACCATACTGCTTTGATGGCACGGGGTGCAGCTCTGTGAGGCCAAGGGAGTGCCCGGCACGCTTACCTAGGATCACCTGTGTGCCCAAACTCAAATCCTTGTGCATCCTTCCAGGGACTGCCAAAAAGAGCAAGATCCTGTCAAAGGAAGAACAGAAGGTGGTTGCGTTTCATGAATCGGGCCATGCCCTGGTCGGCTGGTTGCTGGAGCATACCGAGGCCGTCATGAAGGTAGGGTGTCCGCGTCAGGTGGGTCTGGGGTCTCGGTGGCTGTAAGCCCAACTCACCCTTGAACAAAGCTGACTTTGGAAGCACCGTGTGTGGTTTTTTTTTTTAAAGATTTTATTTATTTATTTGACAGAGAGAGAGACAGCGAGAGAGGGAACACAAGCAGGGGGAGTGGGGAGAGGGAGAAGCAGGCTTCCCACCGAGTAGGGAGCCCGATGCAGGGCTTGATCCCAGGACCCTGGGATCATGACCTGAGCCTAAGGCAGACGCTTAACGACTGAGCCACCCAGGCACCCCGCACCGTGTGTGTTTTTACTTGAAGAGAAAGCGCAGTGTGAGCTGGACATGGGCACAGGGCAGGAGGTGATGGTGCGGGATCCCCTCATCCTCAGAAGCAAAGGACAGGAGGTCTTAAGTGGGCTCTAGTTTTGGGATGTGACCATTGCAGTCACACAATAACTTGGGGTCTCCTTCTGCCATCTACACAGTTACTCTCGGAATTAAGAATTGCCGTGTTCACTAAAAGTGTTGATGTGGTGACCCCTAACCTTAGGGGTCAAATCAGTGAGTTTGGTTCACGTTAAAAAAATACCACTCTTGGAGGCATTTGTGATTTGACGAAAATTTATTAGGATCCGCTGCTAACATCAGAACAACTCCCCGAGAATGTGGGTGCAGATTTTACAGTGCCTTCCACACAGACCTGACGCACGGCCCGGAGAAGAGTCGCGCAGGTGCTCTGCTCCCACAGTGCGGGGAGGGGGCCACAGCACCGCTCGTCCCTGACACCAGCAGTGGGACGTGGCAGTCACCAGCCTGGCACGTTGGCGTTTACGCCCTTCTTTTCAGAAGGGTTCATTACAGCCATGTAGACAGTCTGCCGGTGTCTGACAATGCCTGTTGATCAGGCCAGCTCCTCTTACACTCAGCGGCGGGCGGGGAGTCCAGTGTCTGGTGACAGACGGGGGGATGCCGCCATCACTGATGATCTGGGTCAGGCCGAGGGTGAGGAAGGCAGGGTTCAAGGTAGGTACTTTAATGCAGTAGCTCAAAAACTAAAAAATTAATGCAGAAAAATCCCAAATGAAATAAATATAACTTAAAACTTGCTGTTCTTAGAATTTTCACTGCATGTAATGTCTAAAAGATACATTTGTTGGGGGCGCCTGGGTGGCTCAGTCGTTAAGCATCTGCCTTTGGCTCAGGTCATGATCACAGAGTCCTGGGATCGAGCCCCGCATCGGGCTCCCTGCTCCACGGGAAGCCTGCTTCTCCCTCTGCCTGCCACTTGCCCTGCTTGTGCTCTCTCTCTCTCTGTCAAATAAATAAATAAAATATTTAAAAAATAAAAAAAAAAATACATCTGTCGTAATGAGACCCCCACCCCCCGGCCCTGAGGCTGGCTACTCAGGGGAAGGTGGTGAAGTCCCAGCTATTGATATGGTCATTCTTTACAGCCGTTTACATTGTAATTTACCTCAGTGTTGGATTTAAGTTTCCTCTTCAAATTTTCCGGGCACTAGGAGCTGGTCATCCTGCTGCCCGGGGCCCCACTGGCTGCTCGTGCGGCAGGTCCTGCTCTGCTGCCC